CAACTAAAAGTCTTAAAACGGAGCAACAAAGATGCATTTAGAAGACCTGATGTAGGAAGCCAAAGAAAGATATCTTTACACCTTTTTGTGCCCTTGGATAAAATCAAGGCAGTAAAATCATACTTTTCTGGAAATCAATAGGTTGAGCTTCCAAAAATTGTCTAGAAAAAGATGCCCAGGAAGACAGGCCTTCCCAGACTGACAAAATAGATTCTTCCTTCCAGCTTCCCTCCAGAGTGAACAAAATGAGACATGGAGCTCAATGCAAATAGAGGGAGGAGAAGGACCAGTAAACTTGAGTCCAGAATGAGACTCTTACAAGCGCTAAACCATAAATAAGCTTTCTAGAAACCATGGGAAGGGATCCATAGGGGGAAAAAAGATTGCATTCTAAAAATCAACAGTGAACAGGCTCAAAATAAAATTAAGCCAATATATTTGTAAATGGAAAATTATTATGTAATAAAATGTCAGGAGTTAGTTGGTTTTTAAGAATAAGGCAATTAAGTTTGAAGTCGAGTTCTGGACATATCCTCAAGGGTTGCATACAGAGAATGGAAGAATTCTAGGGTAGAAAAATCTCTGGGAAACAACAATTTCAGGAGCCCTCTAGCTGTGTGTTTGGTAATCTGGAATGATCCAATTATTTCTGTGTTAACTGGTTATGCACTGATTGCAATTCATTTGTTCTGATTTGTTGATGTAAGTCCAAAGCACATGGATTTAGAGTCCATTCAGGACAGGCAGAGCTGGTCTCATGGAAATGCAACTCTTGCTCACACTTGCAGAAGCAGATAGACACCTGCAGGTGTTTTCCAAAGTATTTTAAAAACCAGGAAATGCTGCATAAAATTTCAGGTTTCTTTCTAAAACTTTGAGACTTTGACATAGTAGGCACTCAATGCTTCAAGGAAACTATTGGCTGGAGATGAGTAGCCAGTGCACCCTTGAGCCCTGACCCTAACCCCAACCCAAACCCCAACCCTGTAGAGCTCTCCTGTCCCCTTTCTCCCCACTTTTAATTATCAAATCAAAGGCTTCTACTCTTGCTTGTCACCTATAGCTGTTGGTTTTGTGATTGCTTTGTCCTACTCTACCAACAGTCATCATTAAATTTACTCCACCAACCCTCCGTCTTTTAAATTCCTGTTAGTTTTTGTCAACTGCTTCCACCATGGCTGGTGGCTTTATTTGGCCCCGCTATATGTGTTCCTTATTTTTGTCTCTGACCACGTCTCCAACTCAGCCTTGAACACGGCCCCATATTTTGGTGCTTTGCCTGTGCTTTCTTGGGACATTTCCCACCCACTCCAATTTGGGGTTTGGCTTCACTCATCTGTCTGGGTGCTGGAATCTAACTCCACAGGTTGAGGCCCTGATGTTGTCTGTGGCGTATCTAAGTAACTAACCATGACAGGCGTCTTACTCCTAATGCTTCTGCGGCAGATTGGATGGCTCTGATTTTCATGCCTGTCCTCCTTTGGAGGTGTCTTCTCACCACGGCTTGTATCTTACTCGGACTAACGTGACCTGTACAAATGGACTCAAACTGAGGCTTTAAATTACGTTTATACATTTCTACTTTGTTACTTCTGATTACTTTGAAATCATTCTCAAGCTAGGCTGAGACCATGCCTGGGCTTGCTATGAAAGTCTGTGAAAGACAAGGTACACGTGAGAGACACAGGAAGAGAATGTAATTGTCACTCCGCAGGCTTTTTGGTACCAGCTTGGAGTCACTGGATCCTAAAGTTAAAGAATCTAGTCAGGATCATCTTTCACCTGCCCAATGCACCTGACTGCTTGGATGAGCATAGAAGAGACCAGAATTGTCCAATCAACCCACAGAATAATGAACAACAAATAAACAAAAATAATACACTTAATTAATCAATACTTAGTGTTTAGACCACTGAGTTTTGCAGCAGGTGTGTTACCTAGGACTGGCTAATTAACACAGTTTTTCTATTACAGAGATTTTGGCTGTAGGCTTGAGGTGCCGCTCTCATGAAAAATGAGTCTGCAAGAAAAGCTAGAGTAGTTACTCACTTAACCCTACCCCAAGAAATTATTCTGACTGTATTTTGAAGTTGCCCAAAAGAAAATAACTGGAGAGTTGCTTTGGGTTTGATTGTTTTGATTTGGGAGAATGTAAATATGTCTCATCTAAAAATTGAACATGTTCTGGGGACATTCCAGCCCAATGTTTGTGTTGTAAGCGGCGTTCCAAACCCATGTCCACATAGGTAAAGAGATCTCGGCTGGCAGGCAGAAGATGTTTCCGACAAACCATTGCATTTACTGTTATTTTGAGGTCTGTCTGCAGAAATGTGAGTGGAAATAAATGCATTAGGGGACCTCAGAAGGTTTGGCAGTGCATTTCAAATGCTTATCTGAGCCACACGAGTTAGAAATCTGGGATGGAAATCTCCTAAGAATAGCCATTCTCACGAAGTTTCCAATCCCTCTTGTTTTTGGCAGAACTTAAAATTCCACGGAAATGGTTCATGTCGCAAGACTTCTATGTGGTGCTGGCCAGCACCAGGAAGGAGAGGGGCCCAGGAAAGGGGAACTGAACCAATGTGGCTGCATGTTTTCACGCCTTTGAAAAGGTCTGGGTTTGGCGCAGCCCAGGAAAGAGCACTTGGGATTTTTGTTTTGTGCCAGCTTTTCAAATACCATTCACCTGACTCATGAAGCTTTGAACATCAGGAGGAGAAAAGGAAGGAATAAATCTTGAATACTCTTGATGTTCAAACACGCTCTGAGCAGGACTCCTCGCTGGGCGAAAGAACAGAATACTGCTGGAGTGAGATGTACTCCTGCCCCCTTTGAGGATCAGAGGGCCAGCCTGGCTTGTTTATCCTCTTTGTGTCCTGTATCTCTGTGACACCAGGTGGACCAGACTTGGTTTCTCCCTTAGGAAGTTCTCAGAGCTGCCTAAGGGTGACAAATCAGGACCATGTTTTCCTGCCTTTTCCAAAATTCTGCTGAAATTTTAGAGTTCAGGAAGTGCCTATTTATATATCACTTTTCAGAACCAGTCATTCCACGCCTCTCTCGATGGTCCTACTGCCTGCAACATCCTGACACCTGTTGTCTGCAGAGTAAATTCGAATTCTCCTCAAACCCAGCTCAGACCTCAGCCTTAATCTTAATGACCTCCTCACCTCTGCTACCCTTTTGCTCTGTGTGTGTTTATGTGATTGTATGCAAAATAGAAAATTACATTCTTAGCACAGGGCCTAGGGCCCTGGAAACACGGGGATAAACAGAAATGGGTCACACAACGCTGTAAAAACTTTTCGCTTTCTGTGTCTCGTGAGCCCTCGACCAACATTAGACTCATCCCACTCTCTCGGACTCATGTTCATTGTCCTAGGTAATTCCCGGAGCGACTTCTCCAAGCAGCTTCTGCACGTGTCCTCTCTCCTACAGGTCACTTTGTCAGCCTTCCATTTTCACATTTAGAAGATCATGCGTCCGTATTTTCCCACCAACTGGTCTAATTCTAAAATGCTAGTTTAGAGGCACCTTCTGTATTCTAGTACTATGTGCAGCCCCGGATTACTGGATAGCTGATATGATAGTAATATTTGAAATTGAAATACAGGGACCTTTTCCCCATGAAGTTTTAACAGGATAAGGATAATCTGATTTATTTTATTTTTCAGCTTGCTGGTGGCTGCGTACTTCATCAGATTAAAACATGAGGTGGCACTAATGAAGTCAAGGTCAAAGGTTCAAATCTCTGTATGGTCCAATTAATGTGATTATTTTTCACATTCCTTTTCTATTCCCCTCCACCTCAGCCAAGTCTCCTACAAATTAGTACACTCAAGCAAAAGTGCGTCCAAAAAAAAAGCACAAAAAATAATGTGGTGAAAAACCACTCTTATCTCTTGAAAACACAGTTGACAGTGCATTGCTATTGCTGTGTGTGTATGTGTGTGTGCACACGCACATAAGAGGGTCATTTTTGTCTGTGCATAAGTGTCTGTCTACTTATCTGTCTACCCATCTTTTGTATAATTTGAAAACCATGCATTTTTTCAGCCAGATGGAAGGATTATGTTACTTGAACATTGGTATTTAATGTATATTATCACATTTATTACCATATCAAAACCAGATGTTTGAAATTTGGGCTCGAAATTCCACAGCGCAGATTGTGTTACCGCAGGGTCACCCTACCACCTAATGCTCTCTGCTCAGCTGTATTTTGTTATGGCTTTGATAGAGCAATAATGTGTTTCCACAAGTCTTAGTCTGGTATTAGATGACATGTGGACTAATTTTGGTGGGTTGAGCAGGCTGGTAGGGGGCTATACAAACCAGAGCAATTTGCTTTCCCAACAGTAAGAAAATATGTTAAGAATTATTGAGAATAGTCAAGGCATCTCTCCTCTCTCTCTCTTTTGTTCTTTTATTTCTTTTCTCCTTCTCTCCTCTGATCTTTTTCATTACTTTATTTAAATTTGTTACCATTTTTACTGTCTCCAGTGTCCCTCAGCCTCCTTCCAGAAACAGAATCTACTTAAATTGCTAACTTTTTTTTAATCTCAGCAAAAGCTACTTCAAATAATCTTCCTCTTATTTGCCTTCCTTATATTGCTTCTGCAAATAAGCAAGTTGAGAAAATTGGTAACAGTCCTATTTAAAAAGTTATAATCAAAGCTATTTAGATAAGGTGAAAGGAAGACGTGAAAGCCCAAGTGGCTCTTGGCCAGTGATCCCTCTGTTTACATTAATAGGTTCCAGCAATGGCAGCACAGGCACAGCAAGTCTGTTTGCCACTGCACTTAGCAAGCACATGAGCTTAAAAATAAACTTTGACCATGTAGATCTCTTTGTCCTTTCGGGAATGGAAAGCATTATGTACTTCAAAGCACACTAAGCCTGATTTGAAAATGTACTTGGGATTTTGTTACTGTGGCAATTGGGAGGGTCTTTATCCTGCACACAATACATGGATGCTTCGTGTGTGAACAGTGCTTGAGCCACAAACTGGTGAAAGCAAATGACCCCGGCAACTTTGCTGTGCTCACTCACAAGGAAGAAACTTCTGCCTTTTACGTTCCCTGGAACAACTGAGATGCACTTCCTCACTTTAATCAGGGAATTTCTTCCTGAACCGAACTGCAGAAACAGAGGATTTGAGTAGCACATTTCACTTGCACACAGCAGCATTTGTTCATTTTGAGCATTTTTGGACAGGAAATCGATCTACAGGGCAACATTCACACAAAAAAAGGAAACATTATGGGACGATGGCTTGTTAGTCCAAGTGACTCTGTTTTGGAAATTACGGGCAAGAAACCTTGGAGGGAGAACGGCATTAAAGATCAAAAGCACGATGACTCCTGATGAAAACATCGCCAAATGATGAACCCACGAGCAAAAAGGAATTTCTACTGTAAGTACCTTTGCAATAACCAACTCTCTTTTTTTTTGGTTTTCAAAATTTCTAGAGTATGCTGAGTAGATTCCCAAGCAAGTATTTGATGTAGAGAGTCTTCATTATAGACAAGTCTGTAATTAAACTCATTGGGTGGTTCCAACAGAGGGTTAGTTACTAGAATTTTTTCCATGACCTTGCAATACTGAAATAAATTGCAGGTTAATCTGGGAATGTTTTATGTGATTGGCACGATAGCTTAGACTTGCATTGTGTGGTGGGTTGCTTCTGGGAATGCAAAGTTGATCAATATATGTACCTATAAATTCCATTGCATTTGGATTCTGCTAATTTGCTTTGATTTTGTATGGGGTTAGTCCTATAATCAAGATGCTCATATACAGATTCACACCTACTATTTGTAATTTAGAGAAACTATGGGCTGTTTCCCGAGGAAGTCTTATTTGAATGATTGAGAAGAGATGGCTTAGCATCTGGGAAACGGGAGAAGCGAATGTATGATAGCTTCATGTAACTCCTGGGAACTAACACCTTGGTTCTGTTTACATTTCACAGTGTATTTGATAAGAAGTCTTCTTTGAAAATTATTTGAGTATCTCTCCCCGAGACTTCTCATCTTACAGATATGTTGTAGTCTTAGAAATATGAATCAAGCTTATTAAAAGTGTAACCCTATATAAATATTAAATATAGTGAGTCCATTTTTAGTGTCTGGCATGTAATACATCCCCAGCAGATATTTTTTGAATTCCCAATAAATCCTGCAGTTGAGAATCAAGACAAACACCAGGATGGTACAATAATCATTTTATATAACAATTTTACTTTTTGAATTATCCATGCATGTGGCTGAATTGTGTTTTAACAAGGAATTATATAACAATGGGGTCATATTGTTCTGTGTTCATTGATACAGGATTGATTTAAAAATAAAAATTTTAATTAATTACTATTTTTGATTGCTTTCCTTTTGAAATACAAAGTTTGCTCAACTTATCGTCCATTTAGAAGAATGCCGCACAGCTTTTAGAGCAATTCAGCACATAAAAGAACTAGGTATCAGCTTGTTTCCTATTAGTATGTGAAGTTCTGTTGTTGGTTCGTGGCAGTGGAGCTTGTTCTGAGCACTTTGGGAACCAGTTGGCCGAGGCCTGATGGGCAGGCCAAGACACTGGCCCAGTCCTCCACAGAGAGATCATCTTTCAGATGTCTGGGCACGAACATGAATTGAGATGTGAGTGAATGCAAAAGCTCTTGGACCCAAGCTGAGTGTTTCCAGAGGGATGAAGAAAAGGAATTGAGTGGGCAAGAGCGGGACAGGTTGGGGAAACTCTTCATCGACACTGTCTCCATCTTTGCGATGGAAAATAACAGGCTTCTCACATTCAAATTCTTTTCTAGACTGCGTTGTATAGACATTTATTACACTGAACTCTGGTCCTTCTGCCACTGCAAGTAGGAATCCAGAATGCTGTGCATGGGATTTTATTGAGCCTCCTTAGAAGTGTTGCTGGGTCCTTTGGGTAGGAAGCAACAGAAGCTGTATCTAAGCAACGATTATCATTGAAGTGAAATGTGTTTGGATAATTACATATACCTTTAGGGTAGACCTAATTATATGATATATAACACCATATAAAAATGGATAAGCAGATTTTCACTTCAGCAGTTGAGTTCAGTCTTCCACTTCTCAGTGCATTTTTTGGGGGGCGGATATCTATCAGATGGTAGTTCTAGTGAGAATAAGACAGGCTAAAGGATTCACTTGGAAGTTATTTCAAGAATCAGGAGATTTGTGGATATCATCTGCATGGTTACTTTTCCAGGCTAAAATCATCTGGATGTATTATGCAGAATTCTGGGATTTCAATCAAGAAATGATGCAATATTTTAGATGTTCTCAGGCTTTAAAAAATTTTTTTAAGGAAAGAGATGGCTTTTGGTTATTGTGTGCAAGTCAAGTAATATGTGGTAGAATGCCTACAATTTTGAGAATTATCTTCTCAGAGACCCCAGAGCAGGACAGCATCAGATGTACTTATTGATCATAAATGATAACTTGAATTTTTATAGTATGTTTTATTTTTTAAATTTGTTATTTATTTGCCATCCAAAGATCTATAGCCAGAGCTGCCCAAAGATGTGTTGCATCAGGAGGAATGAGTCTCCCACTGCTGGGGGCAGCTTGTTGATGAGAAAGTTCAGCAAGAAGGGAAAAAAACAATGTTTTGAGTTAGATAACTATGCACTGGAATCCTAGAACCGCCACTTACCACTGTGTGAACTTGGGCAAACTATCTCAGTGCTAAGCCTCTAGTTTCCTATCTGCAAAATGAGTGAATAAGTCTTCCTTCTTTGAATTGTTACAAATATTAAATGAGACAATTTGTGTCAACTACTTGGAATATAGTAAGTGTATGATAAGGTGATTAAACTTCCTGGGCTTTAGGGATCTAATTTTGAGGTTCTAACAATTCTAGCTATTTAATCTAGAGTCCTTGATTTATCTGTTCTACACTTATTGGCTCCTAAGACAAGAAAATTGTAAATCCAAGCTACAAGCTCAGTGAAAGAATGATTTAAGACCACCAGAATGCATGAATTAAAAACAGTGAAGAGGTTTTCATGTGTTTGTTTTAGATGGTTTACATGCAGTAGATGGTAAAAATCCATGCAGTTGGGCATTCAACACTGCTTGCCAACTAATTTCCCTGTTCACATTTTATATATAACCTGTGTCTACTAATCTTCAGAAATCTGCTGTAGCCAGCAAAGCAAAGTAATTTTCAGTAGATGTGATCTTTTTGAAAGTTTAATGTTTAAAATAAAGTTCACCTTCAAAATGTTTCCTATGACATCTCTGTATGATGGCTGCAAAAATCAAAGTTTTATGTGGATAATTTATGTTGATTATTTCATTTATTATGTCCATTTTTTTTCCACGCACACATGCAAAGCACTTAGATTGAGTCATCATTCTTATACTATTATTTGAACTGATTCAAGTGGTGTTTACATAGCACAGATATGGAAAATCACTGGCATTTGAGAATAAGTCAGCAGTGACTGGTTAAAAATATCACCTTGCATCAACATGGTGGCATTTTTCTCTTCAAGCATTTCCATGCGTATTACTTCATTTTTGTATCCTTGATAAGGAAAAGGAAGCTACATTCACTCCATTTGCTGCATGATGAGAATATTAAACCCAGAACATGAGCAGAATTGTCTAATGAGACACGTGGGTATAAAGAAATTAAACTTTACATGTACAATTCATTTAATGGTTTTATGGTCATCTCTGATTTTGATCCAGGAATACATGATTCGTCTGGTACTCTCTTGCATTACTAGAGGTCTTAATCTTGAGCACTAGTTAACACTTACTTATATTATGCACCCATAGTGGCCTAACCAACCAGACACAAAAAGGATAGAGTATGACTGGGTTTGGCCTCAGTAACTTGTACGGAAGACCTTAGAATCTGGAATTTATTGTCTTCTCTACTGGCATTTTGCTGCAAACACTTCAGGGGCACAAAGAGACTCTATTTAATCATGTAGGTGTTTGTCTTACAATGTAGGCCATGGATGTACTCTTGGCTACCTTCCCTGGTTGCTGCCATGACATCTATTGGACCAACTGCCTTGTGTGTGTGTGTGTGTGTGTGTGTGTGTGTGTGTGTGTGTGTGTGTGCGTGTGTGCACGTGCGTGTGTGTGTGTGTCTCAAATTAACAGGACAAAATCAGCTCCATAGCAGCTCAAAGGCTGATAAAGTATCTCTTAGTAGACCTCGAGGCTCGTGGCCTGGTTATACTTGATGATTTCAGTGTAGTAATCAGATATGTTCCTTGACACAACTGAGAGCTGTAACTTGCAGGAACTACAGTTACAGGTACAAGAAACAGAAAACTCTAAAGCAGTGGAGACCAGATATCTCACAGGAGTTAACCACTAAGCTATTCAGAAATGAAAGATGTTTACTTTTTCTTATCAATAGCTTGTATGTTCAATGTGCTTTTAGCTCAGTGCCTGTTTTTTTTTTCCCCCCCATTTAGAAGCCTAACATTACATCTTCAGCACAAAATGCTTTTGGTTGGTGACTTTTCATGAAAATGCAGCATAAAGAGGAAAGCATGGAATGGCTGGCTCAGGTGCTTTCCTGTGTCATGGAATGGATCCTGGTCCTGCGGGGTATTTCAGTCTGTTCTGTCCTGTGATTTCTTACTCTGTGAGAAACACCCTCAGGTCAGCTGAGGTGCAGCAGTGTGGTTCCGAGGCGCTAAGCAGCACGAATCCAAAGTGTCTGGTTTCTATGAGGCCGTTTGCGTTATTCTCAAGCCCTAATGACTAGGTCAAGGTGAACTGAACTGTAAAGTGTGAAAGCAGCCAGTAGCTTCCCCTACCTGGACTTTCCACCCAGAGTAGAGAGAGTTCTAAAAGAGAGTTCCTTTTCCTTCACTTTAAAAGGTTTATTTTTTTTAAATTTATGTATGTTTGAGAAAGGCACAAGCTTTCATTCCTTCCAGGTGAGAAAGACTAACATTTTTTGTACTTGTTATTTACTGATATGTGTCTGTAGCGCATGATGTTTCCATTCCTGTGGGGAATTGGTACCTGTACAGCACACAGCTTAACTCAGACTTTCATCCCCTTTCCTCCCCGCCCCCACCCATCTCTTGATCTCCTTCCCTTTCCCTTGGACAGGTTTGCAGTACGCAACGTTTGCATTCCTTGCGTAGAGTTGTCACAGGTATACAGCACATCAGAGTGAGACCGACTTCTGTTGTGTTTATTTTGTGTATATCTGTGCTATGTGTTAAGTTCTTTTAAAATTTTGCATCAAGTAAGATTGTGCGTATGGTTATGTGAATTAAGTATATAAAGTCTTGTAAACACAGCCATAATCAAGACGCAGAACAAATTCTTCATTTAAAATATCCCTCTTGATGCAGAAGAATTAAACTCTTATGTAACACCATATAAAACAGCAATT